TCTCAGGCCATCAGCAGGAAGCTAGATCAAAAGCAGAAGAGCCAGAACATGACCCAGTGCTCATATGGGGTGCTTGTATTGCAGACGGCAGGTTTACTTGCTATGTGACAATGCTGGCCCTGTTTTATGGGAACTTCCAAATGAAATTTTGAAGTTGTATGCATTGTAGTTTGCATGTAATTCAACTTTCTGCCATACTTACTGATATATATCAGCATTTGATGTAGGACAAATCAGAAAACACAATGGCTTAACAAATAGCCAGTTGATTTGCAGTTCTGACTCTGTGTTTTGGGCTGTACTCAGCTGGGCAGTTCCTATGATCGGTCCAGGAGCAGAAATGAGAGTTTAGCCATCTGGGGAACTGATTGAGGCTTCACTTAAGTGTCTGGGGTTTGTGGTGAATCTTGGCTGCACATTATCTCTTTTTTTCTTTTTTTGACAGGCAGAGTTAGTGAGAGAGAGAGAGACAGAGAGAAATGCCTTCCTTCCATTGGCTCACCCCCCAAATGGCTGCTATGGCCAGTATGCTGTGCTGATCCAAAGCTAGGAGACAGGCACTTCCTCCTGGTCTCCCATGTGGGTGCAGGGCCCAAGCACTTGGGCCATCCTCCACTGCCTTCCCAGGCCACAGCCGAGAGCTGGACTGGAATAGGAGCAACTGGGTCAGAACCAGCACCCCAACTGAGACTGTCACCTGGAATACCAGTGCCACGGGCGGAGGATTAACCTAGTGAGCCACGGTGCCAGCCTACATACTATCTCTTCAACAGGCAGGCCCCAGCGTTTTTCAGAAGATAACTGTCAGAAAAAGAAAATCTGAGAAGGCAAATACTTTACAAATTGTCTATTTCTGGGGCTGGTTCTGTGACATAGCAAGTAAAGACACCACCTGCAGTGCCAGCATTTCATATGGGTGTCAGTTCATGACTCGGCTGCTCCACTTCTGATCCAGCTCTTTGCTACAGCCTGGAAAAACAGTAGAAGATGGCCCAAGTCCTTTGGCCCCTGCTCCCTTGTGGGAGACCTGACAGAAGCTCCTGGTTCATATCTTTGGATCTACACAGCTCCAGCCATTGCAGCCATCTGGGGAGTGAACCTGCAGTTCGAAGACCTCTCTTTATTCCTCCTTCTCTCTCTCTCTCTCTCTCTCTCTCTCTCTCTCTCTCTCTCTCTCTTCTCTGCCTCTCCTTCTCTCTTTGTGTAACTCTTTCATATAAATAAATATTTTAACAAATTGTCTATTTCTATCACATTTACTGGTATCTCATGGGGCAAATCAATTGAAATGGTGAAATTCATGGTCTTTTTCAAAAAGATTTATTTATTCATTTGAAAGAGTTACACACAGAGAGAGGGAGAGGCAGAGAGAGATAGAGAGCTCTTCCATCTGCTGGTTCACTCCCCAGTTGGCTGCAATGGCCAGAGTTGTGCCAATCCAAAGCCAGGGTCCAGGAGATTCTTCTGGGTCTTCCACATGGGTACAGGGGCCCAAGGACTTGGGCCATCTTCTACTGCTTTCCCAGGCCATAGCAGAAAGCTGGATCAGAAGTGGGGCAGCTGGGAATCAAACCAGTGCCTATATGGGATGCCAGTCTGCAGGTGGCAGTTTTACCCGCTAGGCCACAGTGCCAGCCCCAATCCAGGGTTTTGTGAAGGGATGAATACAGGGAAAGGTGCTACTTGGAATCATTACTGGTAAAGTGCACTGCATTAAATATACATTATGTGTATTTGTTAACTTTCTTTAGTATAAACTTTAATAACAACATAATGTTTATCTCTGATAACCTTATTCATTGAACACTCAACTTTTCTTTTTACTTTTACATTATTATTTTACAAAATTTGTAGATAATGCTTTCGTTAAACCAATGATAACTTCTGTTTAATCTCTGCCACTTAATATAGGTGGGTGCATTTTCCTATGTATTTCTATTTTTAGAGGTTTATTCCTCCACAGTGAAGCTGATGTTTTCTTGGTTAATGTATTTATTATTCTTTATTCATTCTATTATATCCTTTTTTTCCCCACTGTTCAGTGCAGAAGGAAACCAGAGGGTTTTTTTTTTTAAGATTTCATTTATTTATTGAAAGAGTTGCAGAGAGAGAAAGTCTTCTATCTGCTGGCTCACCCTCCAAATTACTGCAAAGGCTGGAGCTCAGCCGATCCAAAGCCAAGACCCAAGAGCTTCTGGGTCTCCCATGCAGGTGCAGTGGCCCAGGGACTTGGACCATGTTCCACTGCTTTCTCAGGACATAGCAGAAAGCTAGATTGTATGTTGAGCATGCAGGACTTGAACCAGAACCCATATGGAATGCTGGCACTGAAGGCAGCAGCTTTACCCATTATGCCACAGCGTTGGCCTCCCGAGTTCTCTTTGAACTCCTGCCATTCACCTTCTCTCCCAGGTATGATTCTGGGTCCTCCACATGTTTCTAAGAGGAAAGAAAATTAATATATCACCTGTAATTGTTTTTTTTTTTAAATTATTCCCCAGCTTGTCAGTACTCATTTTAGGTGTTTAATGCTAGTTTATTTATTTATTTTTTTAGATTTTTTTTATTTATTTGAAAGTCAGAGTTACAGAGAGGCAGAGGGGGAGAGAGAGAGAGTATTCCATCTGCTGGTGCACTCCCCAGTTTGCCACAATGGCCGAAGTTGCACTGGTCCAAAGCTAGAAGTGAAGAGCTTCTTCTGGGTCTCCCACATAGGTTCAGGGGTGCAAGGACTTAGGCCATCTTCTACTGAATCCCCAGGCCATAGCATAGAGCTGGATTGGAAGTGAAGCCACTGGGACTTGAACTGGCACCAATATGGGATGCCAGCACTGAAGGCAGTGGCTTTACCTGCTAGCCACAGTGCCAGTCCCAGTATACTAGTTAATTAAAATGGAAAATATGGGGCTGGCTCTGTGGCTCAGCGAGTTAATGCCCTGGTCTAAAGCATCAACTTCCCATATAGGCACCGGTTTGAGACCTGGCTGCTCCACTTCTGCTCCAGCTCTCTACTATGGCCTGGGAAAGCAGTGGAAGATGGCCCAGGTCCTTGGGCCCCTGCACCCATGTGGGAGACCCAGAAGAAGCTCCTGGTTCCTGGCTTCAGATTGGTGCAGTTCCAGCCATTGCAGCCAACTGGGGACTGAACCAACAGATGGAAGACCTCTCTCTCTCTCTCTGCCTCTCCTCTCTCTGTGTATCTCTGGCTTTCAAATAAATAAATAAATCTTTACAAAATTTTAAAATAGAAAAATAAACATAAAATTTGTTCTCACAGAATATACAGAAATGAATTATGAATTTGGCATGATTATGAAACATTACTGTCATCTATAATAATGCAGTTTGGTCTCTTGTCTTTCTGTTGCTATAGCAAAATATATATTACATGAATTGAGTTGAAACTAAGCACAATATGCTACATTTTTGGGGTCATGTCTGAAACATTCTACACATAGATGATGTACTGAACAGTGTTTTAGTGCTACCTATGAAGTAAACACTTAGCATTGTGCAAGAGGAAGAGTTACCTAATGCTGGAACACAAATCAGTTAAGTTTGTTTTCAAATTGTTAGAGTAATGGAGTTCTTAATACCTTTGAGAAGTTGAATTGGATTCTGAAATAGGATAAGGAATGTGTGGAGAAAAGAATCTACTGGAGGCTCATTTGTTTTTTTAAGATTATTTATTTGAAAGGTGGACTTGCAGAGATTGGGAGAGAAAGGGAGACAAAAGGTGATATATTCTATCTACTGTTTCATTCCCCAAATGCCCACAATGGCTGGGACTGGGCCAGGCCAAAGCCAGGAGCCTGGGACTCCATGGGTCTCCCACATTGGTGGAAGGGTCCAAATACTCAGGCCATTTTCACTGCTCTTTCAATCAGGTTAGCAGGGAACTAGATTGGAAGTGGAGCAGCAAGGAGTCAAGTCCTCTGTTCACATGGGATGCCAGCATTGATGGTGGAGGCTTAGCCTGCTGGATCACAATTCTGGTGACTATTGCAGGTTCTGAAACGAATCTCTAAGCATTTTCCTCAGTGAGTCACAAATGCAGATTGTACTGCAGACATTCCCAGGTTCTCTTTTTGGGCAAATAATTCCATTGCTTTCATTTAATTATGTATAATGTCATTTCAAATGTTTGTCATTTGAATGTTTTGGGCAAGTATTTCCATTGCTTTCACTTTAATTAGGTATAATGTTATTTCAATTGTTTATCAGTAGAATAATCATAGACAAGGGCAAAAGCTAATTTGTATTCTTTGTCTTACCTGTATTTTCTCTCTTACTTAAAAATATTTATTAGCTTGATAGAGAAAAAAGTTGATGGACTGAGAGATAGAGAGCTTTGACACATTAATTCACTTCCTAGATAACCATACCAAACAGGTGGGGCAGGACTGAAGCCAGGATTGAGGAATGGAATCTAGGCCTCCTTCATTGGTGACATCACCATTGCTTCCCCAGGTTTGCATTATCTGGGAGCTAGAAACTAGAGTTGGCATTGGAAATCACAGACACTCTGAGGCGGCATCATAAACAACACTAAGCTAAATGTCTGCCCTGTCTTTTAATATATTTTTCCTCTGACATATTGGAAATGATATGCATGGTGTTTTCCTGGAAATTGTTTTCTGTTCATTCCCATCGTAGTTTCACTGATGGTTTCTTGCCTTTTTTCTCAATGCTTCTACATACTTCTCCTTAACATTGCCCAGTCAAGAGTCAGTATTGCCCCTCTTCTAGCCTGCTGTGCAATTCCCCTTGACAGATGTGGCCTTTGTGATTTGAACCTCCTGTTTCCCTCCAGCTTGGGCATGTCTCACAGCCTGTAGATCATGGGTTTGACTCTGTTGAATGCTCCGTGTGGCTTTCTAAACACTCAACAAGTCTAATGTGAAACCATATCCTTCCTTTTTTCCTTCATATCCATACACAACTGTCAGTGTTTATTTTGTGACAGAGTTAACATGTTGACTAGAAGTGTATTATTATAGGTGATGACGGCATTTGAAGACCTGGCTGTGTACTTTACATGGGAGGAATGGCAGAAAATGAACAATGCTCAGAAAATCCTGTACAGAGATGTGATGCTGGAGACCTACAGCAGCCTGTTCTCCTTGGGTGAGTGACACCCATCACACGCCCAGTGATAACATTTTCTTGCTATTTGACAAATAAGGGAACACTTTATAATGTTTAATATTGGGCAGGATTAGAAATTGAGTCCATGAATAATCTGAATATCTACCATCTAACAAAAGATTCAAATTGGAACATTTGTTGCATAGCTCCTGAACCAAGCTGTAGTCCTTTAAATAACCCAAGATAGTGAGTTTACAAAGTCTCACTTTGTTTCCATTAATAGGGCACTGCATTACCAAACCTGACTTGATCTTTAAGTTGGAGCGAGGAGAAGAGCCATGGATGGTGGATGAATGCTTGAATCGGAGCCTTTCAGGTCAGTCTGCACATAAGAGACAGGGAGGCCAAGGCAGAAAGTGTGCAGATGTTGACTGGTGTTCTTTCCATGAAATTTTCTCAAGCCTTACTCCTGATGACAGCTGCTTTTGTGCCTCAGACACAGGCATTTAGAGATACCAGTATCTTCCTAACTTTTGTTCTTAGTGAAGATGTTCTTTGATTAAAAAAAAATCCAGTCATTTTCTGATGTTACTAAGGCTTTTATCTAGGTTTGATACATTCCCCCAATTCTAACTTGTCCTTCTCTACACTTTCATACCTTTCCCTTCATGCACTTATTAGTTCCTTCAGTGCTTGTTAATTAGGTAACATACAGAAACTAATTTTTTTAAGATTAATTTTTCTGTTGTTTTTTTTTTGGTTTTTTTTTTTTTTTTGACAGGCAGAGTGGACAGTGAAAGAAAGAGACAGAGAGGAAGGTCTTACTTTTGCCATTGGTTCACCCTCCAGTGGCCACCATGGCCGGTGTGCTGTGGCTGGCACACCACGCTGATCCAAAGCCAGGAGCCAGGTGCTTCTCCTGGTCTCCCATGCAGGTGCAGGGCCCAAGGACCTGGGCCATCCTCCACTGCACTCCTGGGCCACAGCAGAGAGCTGGCCTGGAAGAGGGGCAACTGGGACAAAATCCAGCACCCGACCGAGACTAGAAACTGGTGTGCTGGTGCCGCAGGCAGAGGATTAGCCTATTGAGCCACCACACCAGCCTGTTTCTGTTTTTTTTTTTTAAGATTTATTTATTTATTTGAAAGTCAGAGAGAGAGAAGAAGGAGAGGCAGAGAGAAAAAGAGAGGTCTTCCATCCACTGGTTCACTTCCCAATTGGCTGTCATGGCTGGAGCTGTACTGATCTGAAGCTAGGAGCCAGGAGCTTCTTCCAGGTCTCCCATATGAGTACAGGGGTCCAAGGACTTGGGCCATCTTCTACTGCTTTCCCAGGCCATAGCAGAGTGCTGGATCAGAAGTGGAGCACCTAAGACTTAAACTGGTGCCCATAAGTGATGTTGGCACTGCAGGTGGTGGCTTTACCTGCTATGCCACAATGCCAGCCCCCAGAAACTTATTTCTAACTCATTGCTCAGATTGCGTTCCCACTCATGATTTTGCCCAGGCATAGAACTTGCTCAGGACTGAATCAATAAATGTGAACTCTCTCTTTCTTAGTCTCTTTCTTTTTTTTCCTCTGTGCCTCTCAAATAAATAAGAAAATTATAGTCTGTTGGAAACATTTGAAGAGTGAGCCTACAGTTGGCAAACCTCTGTTTCAGTCTGTCTTTATCTCTCATTCTGTCTCTCTGACTCTCAAGTAAGTAAATAAGTAAATGTTAAAAGATGGTCATGTGGCTGGCACTGTGGTGCAGTGAATTAACACCCTAGCATGAAGCACCAGCATCCCATATGGGCACCAGTTTTTGACCCAGTTGCTCCACTTCCAATCCAGCTCTCGGCTATGGCCTGGGAAAGCAGTAGAAGATGGTCCAAGTCCTTGGTCCCCTGCACCCAAGGGAGACCCAGAAGCAGCTCCTGGCTCCTGGCTTCAGATCAGCACAGTTCTGGCCATTGTGGCCAACAGGGGAGTGAACCATTGGTTGGAAGACCTTACTCTCTCTTTGCCTCTCCTCTCTCTGTGTAACTCTGACTTTCAAATAAATAAATAAATCTTTAAAAAAAAAAAAGATGGTCATGAGTAAGCCTCTGTGCTGTGACATCAGAAATTATGAAGCTAGGAATGACACTGTGGTGCAGTGTGTTAAAGCTCCAGCCTGCAACACTAGCATTGCATATTGGTGCCAGTTCAAGTCCCAGCTGGTCCCCTTCTAATCCAGCTCTCTGCTAATGCACCTGAGAAAAGAGCAGAGGTTGGCCCAAGTCTTTGGCCCCCTGTACCCATGTGGGAGATAAGAAAGACACTCTGGCTCCTAACTTCATTTTGGCCCAGCATTGGTTGTTGTGCCCATATGGGTAGTGAACCAGCAGATGGAAGACTTCTCTCTGTCTCTCTCTCTATAATTCTAGCTTTCAAATAAATAAAGTAAATCTTTGAAAAAAAGAAGTCCTAAACTAAGCATTAACTTACATAAAACATGAAAATAAGTGATTCTAGACTCACCAAGAAAATACTGAGATTTTGAGACCCAAGGTCAAGTAGCCTCATGGGGTTATGTTGAGTGACTCAGATTTCTTTAAGGGTGGAGTCTGAAGTATGATTTCTCTCTTATTTTCAGTATCATTGAAAATAAGCCAATAAAAAGATAAGAAAAGCATATGAAATGAAGCTTTCAGTGAAAATAGGAGGCAACTGATCAAAAGTCTCCAGAAATTCAAATTATCACACAGGAATGTTTCTAGAAAGAATTTAGAGGAGGTAACCAGTACTGATGATTTCAGAATGAGTTAGAAAACACTTTTCAAAGAAGATGAGCACATCCCGGTTTGCAGAAACAAATTCTTCAAATTGATTGGGAGTGTTTAACTAAAGTGGTATATTGGGAATTTTCTGTACCTGTTGTACTTCTGAGAAGCTGAAGGTGTTGGGTGTCCTTAGGAATTTGGGGAAGCTGTCATAGAGTAGAGACAAAGTCGTTTTTCATTTGAAAAATCCCACAAATGAGGTTTACCTAGGAAGACTGAGCATGAGACACTCATAGATTTAAATCCTACTCCTTAAATGTTGTCCTGCTTAAAGTACAGGCACATTTCACTCTTCTCCACCTGCAAGTAAATGATCAGTAAAACTTTTTCATGTTTATGGTTGAGATATCAGAGAAGCAAAAAGCACACAATTTTTATAAAAATAAACTGGAGAAAAAGGACAGGGGAAAAAATGGTTGCTAGGTAGTGGGTGAATATTTTTATTAAATATTTGCCCATTCTTTAAAATATTTTATAGTTATTTCATCTTTGTGAAAGGCAGAGTGATAGTGAGAGAAGAGAGAGAGAGAAAGAGGTCCTCTATTAGCTCACTTCCCAGATGCCTGCAACACTTAGGTCTAACTAGTCTGAAGCCAAAACTCTAGAATTCCTCTAGTCATCCCTGGTGTCTCACAGGTTCCCAGGCACATGAACCATTATCTGCTTCCTTCCAGTTTACATAGACAGAGAGCTGTACTGAAAGCAGAGTAGCCAGGGCTCAAACTGATACTGTTTTGAGATGCAGGCATCCCACACATCATAGCGCAAAAGTCATTCTACCATCCTTGACAAATTCCCATAGTAAAAAGGATCATGTTTGAACATTGGGAAACCTCATGGTATATTAATGTATTAAGGAGAAAAACCATATAATGGTCACAAATAATTACCTCATACTGATTTTGTGAACATCTTATGCCACTTGGATAACAAGTAACTTCATTCCCTTTACATGAGTATGCCAGGAGAAACAGTTACATGTGATTCAGTGACATGATTGCTTTTTTCTCATTTCAGTGGTCATGAAAAGGGATGACCTGATTAGGATCAACCAGGAAAGTCAGGACAAAAATCTGAATCAGGATTTTATGAAAAATAACAAGACATCAGCTCTCAAGAGAATTGAATTAAGAAAAACACTTAGTTTAAATTCAAGCCATGTTCCAACACTGATTATTCAAAAGGGAATCTATTCAGGATTGAAGCCTGAGGAATGGAATAAATGTCACACTGTGTATCCCCCCAGTGGGCCTGATCAACTACAGGCTGGAGAGAAATTTGATAACACTAAGATACCTGGAAAATCTCCCCAGTTCTGTGAGCCTCTTAGCCAGCTTGACAATATTCACATGATGAAGCAGCCATTTGGACCCACTGGACAAGCAAAAGTCTTCACAAGAAAGATGTTCTGTAAATCTGAGAGGGTTCATATGGCAGAAAACTGTAATAAATCAACTGTCACTTTTGGAAAAGCAATGCAAATAGAAAAAGCTATCCATGAAAATTCTAGCCTCAATATGCATCAACAAACTCACACAAGAAAGAAATTTTATAAGTACATTATGTATGTTGAACCTGTCATTCACCAGTCACATCTTACAATAAACCAGAGACTAAATACAAGGGAAAAACTTTACACATGTAAACCTTGTGGAAAATTACTCAGTTTTAATTCACCTTCTGAATGTAATGACTGTGGAAAAGCCTTTAGACAAAATTCAGTCCTCAGGAAACATCAGCAAATTCACACAGGGGAGAAACCTCATGAATGTAGTGACTGTAGAAAAGCCTTTACACAGAAGTCATACCTCATAAACCATCAGCGAATTCACACAGGAGAGAAACTTTATAAATGCCTTGAATGTGGAAAAGGCTTTCTGTGGAAGTCAGACCTCATCATACACCAGCGAATTCACACAGGGGAGAAACCTCATAAATGTAATGACTGTGGAAAAGCATTTGGATACAAGTCAGCCCTCCTCATACACCAGCGAATTCACACAGGGGAGAAACCTCATAAATGTAATGACTGTGGAAAAGCCTTTGGACAAAAGTCACACCTCATCATACACCAGCGAATTCACACAGGGGAGAAACCTTATGAATGTAATGACTGTGGAAAAGCCTTTGGACGAAAGTCAAGCCTCATCATACACCAGCGAATTCTCACAGAGGAGAAACCTCATAAATGTAATGACTGTGGAAAAGCCTTTGGACGAAAGTCAAACCTCATCATACACCAGCAAATTCACACAGGGGAGAAACCTCATAAATGTAATGACTGTGGAAAAGCCTTTGGACAAAAGTCAACCCTCCTCATACATCAGCGAATTCACACAGGAGAGAAACCTCATAAATGTAATGACTGTGGAAAAGCCTTTGGACAAAAGTCACACCTCATCATACACCAGCAAATTCACACAGGGGAGAAACCTCATAAATGTAATGCCTGTGGAAAAGCCTTTGGACACAAGTCAGGCCTTAGGAAACATCAGCGAATTCACACAGGAGAGAAACCTCATAAATGTAATGATTGTGGAAAAGCCTTTACACAAAAGTCAGACCTCATCATACACCAGCGAATTCACACAGGGGAAAAACCTCATAAATGTAATGACTGTGGAAAAGCCTTTGGACAAAAGTCAAGCCTCATCATACACCAGCGAACTCACACAGGGGAGAAACCTCATAAATGTAATGCCTGTGGAAAAGCCTTTGGACACAAGTCACACTTCATCATACACCAGCGAATTCACACAGGGGAGAAACCTCATAAATGTAATGCCTGTGGAAAAGCCTTTGGACAAACGTCAGGCCTCAGGAAACATCAGCGAATTCACGCAGGGGAGAAACCTCATAAATGTAATGACTGTGGAAAAGCCTTTGGACACAAGTCAGGCCTCAGGAAACATCAGCGAATTCACACAGGGGAGAAACCTCATAAATGTAATGACTGTGGAAAAGCCTTTGGACGAAAGTCAGACCTCATCATACACCAGCGAACTCACACAGGGGAGAAACCTCATAAATGTAATGCCTGTGGAAAAGCCTTTGGACAAAAGTCACACCTCATCATACACCAGCGAATTCACACAGGGAAGAAACCTCATAAATGTAATGCCTGTGGAAAAGCCTTTGGACAAACGTCAGGCCTCAGGAAACATCAGCGAATTCACACAGGGCAGAAACCTCATGAATGTAATGACTGTGGAAAAGCCTTTGGACGAAAGTCAGACCTCATCATACACCAGCGAATTCACACAGGTCAGAAACCTCATAAATGTAATGACTGTGGAAAAGCCTTTGGACAAAAGACTAACCTCATATCACAGCAGAAAATTCACACAGGGTAGAAAACTCAATTGTAATAACTGAGGAAAGCATTTAACCATAAGTCAACCTTCATCATGCATCAGAGAATTCACACAGGGCAGAAACCTTATGAATGTAATAACTGGAAAAGCCTTTGGACAAAAGTCAAACCTGAATGCACCAGAGAATGCACACAGTATTGAAACTTAATGAGTGTAATGACTGGAAAAACTTAAGTTCCAACTCCAAATGCATCAGAGGATTCACACAGGGAAATAACCTTATAAATGTAATGACTGCAGAAAAGCCTTTTTCTATAAGTTATACTCATATCAAAACAGTTCACACAGGGCAGAAACCTTGTGAATCTACTAAGTGTGGAAAAGCCTTTATAAATTATATGTTATAAATCATAGCTCATATCACACCAGAGAATTCACACCAGGGAGAGACTTCATGAATGCAATGACTGTAGAAAAGCCCTTGGCAGTAAGTCACATCTCAGAATGCATCAGAAAATGCACAGGAAGAGAAACCTCTTGGACATAATGACTTGGAAAGCTTTTTCCCATAATTCAGCCCTCATTGCACATCATCTAATTCATATGGGGGAAAACACTTAGGATATAATGCATATGGAAAAGCCTTTATCCATAAGTAACACCTCATAAAACATCAGAATTCACATGGGGGAGAAACCTTATGAATGGAATGAATGTTGGAAAACTCTGCCAAAATCACACAATATAACATCAGAGAATTTATTACATGGTGGAAATCTTGTAATAAATGTGGGAAAGCCTTTTGTCAGAAGGAATACCTCATAACACATGGAGTTCAAACAAGGGAGAGAACTTAAGAATATAATGAATGTGAAGGACTTTTTGCAAAATCAACATAACCATGTGACAGAGCCTTTTGCTGGAAATTACATCCCATACAATAGGCACTCCCATAAGGAAGAAAGGTTGGGACCAGCGCTGTGGCACAGTAGGTTAAAGTGCTGGCCTGAAATGCTGACATACCATGTGGGCACTGGTTCTAGTCCCAGTTGCTCCTCTTCTGATCCAGCTCTCTGCTATGGCCTGAGAAAGCAGTAGAAGATGGCCCTGCACCCACATGGGAGACCCAGAAGAAGCTCCTGACTCCTGGCTTTGGATCGCTGCAGCTCCAGCCATTGCATCCATCTGGGGAGTGAACTGTCAGATGGAAGACCTCTTTCTGCTTCTCTGTCTCTCTCTAACTCTGTCTTTCAAATAAAAAAATTGTTAAAAAAATGAAGAAGTTCAGAAATATTATTAGTGTAACAAAAAGCCATTTGTCAGAAATGGCATTATACATCAAAATTCACACAAGGGGTTTCATAGGAGTGTAATGAATGTGGAAGTATATTTTACTAGAATTCAGGCTTGCATAAATATAGGTGCGAGTTCTAGTCCCAGCTGCCCCTCTTCAATCCAGCTGTTTACTGTGGCCTGGGAAAGCAGTAGAAGACAGCCCAAGTGCTTGGGCCTCTGCACCCACATGGAAGACCAGGAAGAAGCACACATCAACTAACATCAGAGAATTCATACAGTAAAATGTCAATTTAATGCATGTGAAAAAATTTTTCTGCCATTAATCAATTCACATGAAGAGACTCCAAAATGAGAAAACATACATGCATAGAAAAGTCATGTACCATGGCCATGGTGATTTCACTTTTATTGTAAGATCATCATCACCCCCAACATTCTGTAAGTTGCCCTGGAAACTGTCAGGTACACAGTGTATCAGGGCCATTTTAGCCAAGGGTAATAATTCTTTCTTCTCAATGTAGTGTATATATATATATATATGAATATATGTAACATATACATATATTTTATACATAGATAAATTTGCCACTGTGTGTCTAGATACTAGTATATTTCCTGAAAATTATGCGGGAAAATAGTGGGATCTTAATGTGACTTTTATCCCAGAATTATGTGTGTGTGTTTAATTTTAGAGGTTGGTAGACTTGGAGACACAGAAAAACAGAGATTATGAGCTACAACTTGGTGGCTTACTCTTTATTCTTGTAATGATCAGAAACTGGATTATTACAGAAAGCTGAGCTATTCTTTTCTGATGATAAATACATTATAAACATTTCAAAAGGTTGCTCTATATATTTATATTACAAATTATATATATGTACATTTATATTGTAATGTCATAAATTAAACACACACATATATATTATATATATAAACACCTTTAAAATTCTCCTTGTTATTGGTATAAATATTTTGAATTTTAAATATTTACTTTTAAAATTTTATTTAATATAAGTTTGATATATTTCATATATACAGACTAATGAATGTAAGTGACATGTCCCCTGATACCCTCCCTCCCACACACACTCCAACCCTTTCTCCTCTTCCCTCTCACATTCCCACTTAACTTTTACAAAATCTATTTTCAGTTTACTTAATGATTGTATAGTTAACCCTACACTAAGTAAGAGTTCAACAAGTCAGCAAATAGTATGAAGCAAAAAAATAAATAAAAAAAAATCACTGTTCCTCAATGGAAGAGACAAGGGCTCTAAACAATCATCAAATCTCAAAATGTGTATCTAACTCCAATACATTACATTTTAGGTACTCTATTAGCTACCTCAGATCAGGGAAAACATAGGATATCTGTCTTTCGGGGACTCGTTTATTATACTAAGTATAATGGTTTCCAGTTTCATCTATCTTGTTGCAAAAGACAGGGTTTCTTTTTCTTTCTTTTTTAATAACTGAGTAGTATGCCATAGTGTGTATATACCATAATTTTCTTATCAAGTCAACAATTGATTGATATCTGGATTGTTCCCAGATCTCAGCTATTGTGAATTGTGCTGCAATGAACATGGGGTTACAGATAACTCTTGCATATGCTAATTTCTTTTTTTTTTTTGGGTAAATTCCATGGAGTGGGATGGCTGGATCAAATGGTAGGCCTATAATCAGATTTGTAAGATATCTCCATACAGTCTTTCACAGTGGCTTACACCAGTTTACATTCCCACCAACAGTGGACCAGGGTAACTTTTCTCCACATCCTCATCAGTTTCGTCATTTGTTGATTTCTTTTATTTTATTTATTTATTTATTTATTTTTGACAGGCAGAGTTAGGCAGTGTGAGAGAGAGACAGAGAGAAAGCCTTCCTTCCATTGGTTCACCCCCCAAATGGCCACTACGGCTGGCGCGCTGCAGCCAGCATGCTGTGCTGATCTGAAACCAGGAGCCAGGTGCTTCCTCCTGGTCTCCCATGCGGGTGCTATTCTTTCTTCCCTATTTCTGACTCTTAAAACTGTTCCAAATTATAGGATTTGATTCAATGCACCAGGTCTTAAATTTAAGGTTTTATTTCTGACTTTTGAACAACCAAAGAGACAGATTCTGTGTTATTTTAAAGTAATCTACTATGCTCTCTTACTGCCTCTTAAGTTCTAATTGTTTAAAACAACTGAGTTTTAAAGGAGTTATGATTTGATCAAATCTGGTCCTTGGGCTAGATGGTGAAAGTGACATCTTAAGTATTAACATATTTATATATATATATATGATTAAGTTTAAAAGTGACTGTATTTGATTGCATTAAGTTTTAAGTTGATCATGTAGGAGGCATTAATTGTTAAAGTGATCATATCAACAGAATTAAAGAGTAGTAAATGCTTGAACATGGGAAGCAGTCCATACAGCAGACTCATAGAATGGCAATTGCTCTAAGTAACGCTCAATGACCTCAGAGTCATCCCTAAAGGCATTCTGGTCTGGCTAAAAAGCCCACAAGAGCATTTCAGGCATGGAAAGTCAGGACACTTGTGCAAAAAGGTGTGCCTCCATGGAGAGTCTCCCTGGGTGAGACTCCTGTGGAAAGAAGTGGTCATCAAAGAAGGATGTACTCTCTTCAAAGGGAGAACTTTCACTTTGCTTACAGCCTTCTCTAAATATTGATGGAGTTTGTGGATTCAGAAGGCTTCCATAGCCTAGACAGCTCATGTCAAGAGCCTTGGGTGATCACTGACAGCACACAAAAGAGTGTAAATTGTGAAATTAACCATAGGAGTCACTGCATTAACTTCCCATGCAGGACCTTAAGACTATGCTTAAAAAACAGAGGGGAGAGTACGGTACCCCCACTATGAGTGTATTAACTTTGCTCCTTTCACCATAAAGTTCTTACTGGTCTCACCCCCTGGAGAGCCACCAGCAGTGAGACACTGGAGACCTTTCACAGGTGCAACCCAATTGCCTCTGGTTTGATGGAGGGACCCAATCACCCGACAATGGAAGGGGCCTGATCCCCTCATAATGATGAGCAAAGGTTTTGCTTGTGCTTTCCAGAGATTACTCTGCAGCCTTTGTGGAGGGCAGCCTGAAATGCCAAACCCTGGACCCAGTCTCTGAAAGCTGACCCTCTACAAACCAACTTCAGCACCTTTCCCTGAACAAGCCATTCATAGAAAGATCCTCTTCAGATGGGCTACAGCTTAAATGGAAGGGACCTTTCCAGGTGCTACTGAACATGACTACCTTAGTAAAATTAGGATTAATGTCTGCCTCTCAAGTCCTCACAGGTGTACTCAAAAGACATGCCTGATTATTCCTGTAAGCCACAGATCTTAAGCAAAAAAAAAGTAAAGCCTTTGCTTTCCTCACATCAAGAGTGCTGCACCTGAAGGCAGGCATGAAGTACCTGCCTCTTTGATTCTCTCTGTTATTAACAATAAAACTCCTAATGTGTTCTTCTAATATAATTCTCTATACTCAAGCTAAATGGGTTTATGTATCACCACCCACTATCTGGGAGTCTGTAGGATGTGGTCTTTTCATCTTAAAGGGGCACTCCACTTACAATTGGTCATGTTCCAGTTTTGCTCATATGAATTTACAAACTTATATGTTCCAGAACTCAACAACTTCTGGGAGTCACTGACCATGCAGGGGACACAGACATTGGTGGTGACCAAGATTGCTCCAGCTCACAAAGAGAATTTGTTAGATGAGATAGGCAGAGACTTCCAGACTGAGGACAGGCAGGGCCTGCACTACATCCCTCATAAACAGGAAGCAGCTATAGAAGATGTGATGATTCTACACCCTTCAACATCCCTAGGATTAAGGGAATGGAGTCTCTGAAGGGGGATGATGCAGGCAGTCATATATCATTAGACTTGAGAACTGGAAGGCTACGCCTTCATCACACTGTCCCCAGCCCCTGTGTCATCTCATGCCCCTGCTTTCCCATACCTGTGCACCGCCTGCCAATTACAAAGGCCTGAAACATGGTGGGCCTGGCCTTTTTCCCTTTGCCCTTCTTTTCCTCCCTGCCCTTAATCACCATGCTAGGCGTTCTTCAATTTAATTTAAAGCTTATTGTGGGCTGTGGCTTGTTGCCGTGCCACACTAAGCAGAGTCACACTTGCCCTAAAACAAAGGGGAGAGATGTGGGTGATCCTGTGAGACTTTCTGCCTAGCCCATGTGGCTAGCCTGACTGATAGTAGGAGGTGGGAACCTCAGGCACATTTTCTCCCACCCCCACCTTCTGCCAATTAGGTAAACTGTTGCTGGGGTGGTCCAGGCCCACATGGAAAGCTACCCTAACTATGAGACCTTCAAGCTAATTGGAGATGCATATTGGTGCCCGTGTTGGTTCTATCCTATAGAGTTAGGGTTGCCCTGAATTAGTTATGCCCCTTCTGCCTGCCCTTTGAAAGTGTACATAGTCATTAATAAAGGTGGACATGTACTCTGAAGCCTGTCCCCAGTGCTTCCTGTGGAAGAACACCATTGCCTCACCCTCCCCGATGGTGTGGGCCTCACAGGACAAGTCCACAGCTCTTGGCCTGCTCCCTGCTTGGTATGGCCCCTACTTAATTTCCAAACTTTCCTTTCTCCTTTAGATAGAACCCTCACTCTCCTATGTGTTTCTCTCACTGAATAAAAGCTTAAAAACTCAGCTTATCATCTGGTCTATTTGAGCCAGTATTCAGAGTTTGTCTCTGAATTCATGGCAAGAACCCACACAGATTATTAATTTCAGAAATATTAATAAGTGCTGAAGTCTCAGGGCCTAATTATGGAGTCTTTTATTTCTAAAAGCCAGTGGCTGCACAGGGGCATGTACTCTCCAAATCATACTGCCCTGAAGGAGCTCAAGGTTAAGCTTCTAAAGGCCAAAACCATATCTTGTTGAAGTTAATTACAAAGCCAAGCATTTGTTACAGGAGCTAGAGCAAGCAACATTATGCTTATCTTGGGGATATTAACAAGTTTCCCAGTACTTAATGTAAATAAACTTACAAAAAAAAACTTCTCAGAAGATTAGTTTTTGAGTAGCTAGCAGTTGTGGGACTGGTTAGAAAAAAATAGAGGACAATCAGGGACAAAATGGAGTGACTCTGGTCAGGCCATAGATCATTTGCACTTGAAAATCAGTAAAACTTAGCCTGAGGATCTGCAGCACCTCATGCATGGACCCAGAGGCCCCTCTGACTTTGACCACCTTGACCTCAGCATGACCCCGGCATGGCTCCCCATTCTCTGTTACAGGAAACTGGGTTGCCAGCATCACTGCAGAGAACAAGGACAGTCCCACAGTGACAGAGGTGGAGCCTGGAGCTGGAGTCTCTACAAGGGGCAAGGACCCATGGCAGTGTGGCCAGGAGTTCCCCATGTCTCACAGAGGACAGTGAGTGTGCCTCTGGTGGACTTCCTGTTGCAGGCAGAGGATTGCTCACTTCAGGACTGGCTACTACATGAATCATGCTGGCTGTGAGGCCTTAGCTCCATGCAAATTTTGGCTCATGCCTTGGCTGCCTAGAATTAATCTCAGACATGGCCAAACAGGCCCCAGAGTACTGCTCAGTGCATGGCATGGCCTCTGTCAGCAAGGATAGTGTCAACATAAAGATGCCACACCACTGCCCCTGAGCCAAGCACCCAAAAGCACTTGTCTGTCCTGATGTCTGAACACCAGCCTGTTTTCATAATCAATTTCATTGTGACAGGATGAAGACATCCATAAAACTGGAGAAAAAGTTGGAAAAACTAATGTAATTCTACACACTTTTCAAAAGACAAAGAGGAAGAATACATCCGGACTAATCCAAAATGCAAACATTATCCAACTGCAATGATTGAAGAAATCAAATTTCCACATGAGCAATAATATAAAAATCAAACTAAATTTTGAAACAGGATATTCTTCAGTAGGTGAATGTATGAGTAAACTGTGTTGTATCTCTGAGAGACCTGAGCCTGGATCAAAGCGCAGCTATTTTAGAATAGGCCTCCATCTTGTAACTCGGGCCTGACCGGCCCTGAACCCTGAAGCTCATGAAAGAAAAAATAAATAAATGAACTCCCCTTGCAATAAACCCCACCTAGCAACAGCCAATCATCAGATAGCAGGGAGATACCTAAAGTTTCAGGTGTCTTTTCAGGCACTTAAGGTAATTGATAACATCCTGAGACCCTGCAGTTTGGCACATACACCCTAGTGGCTCAGACCCTATACTTTAGCCAATCATTTTAAAAGGCATCAACCCCAAAAGCCATCCCACCACCTTTAATAGGTCCATGCCTGCCGCTGGATGCACTAATCAATTTTAAGAGATGTTCTTTGAATTTCCTATGGAATGAGATGATTTGCTGAATGGTGCTAGAATGTATAGATTGTCTCTGAAAACCCTATAAAAACCCCATTCACTGAAGTTGGGGCTTTCAACCAGACCCAAGGCATCAGTGATAGTTGATCACCCAAGCCCAGACCTGCAATAAAACTCATGTGTTTTACAATGGTATAGGCCCCTTGGTGGTCTTTGGGGACAATCTAAGTGGGCATAACATATCATACAAAAAATTTTATTGCTAAAGGAAATGAGCTCACAAATCATGTGGTCCATTAGCATTTTATACTACATCCTGTTTCAACAGCCTGAACATGCAGATGAATATCTATGAGATGGGATAACTTCAGTCAGAGTAAAGTTAAGTTTCAAGATAAAGTCTGGGACCTGGCACTGTGGTGTAGTGGCCTAAGCCTCTGCCTACAGTGCCATAATCCCATGTGGGCTCCAGTTTGAGTCCCTGCTGCTGCACTTCTCTTGAAGCTCTCTCCTTTGGCCTGAGAAAGCAGTGGAAGATGGCCCAAGTCCTTTGGCCCCTGCACCCAGGTGGGAGACTCAGAATGAAGCTCCTGGCTTTGGATTGGCCCAGTTCTGGCCATTTGGGGAGTGACCAACAGAAGGAAGATCTTTCTCTCTGTCTCTCTTTTTCTCTGTCTGTAACTCTACCTGTCAAATAAATAAATAAAATCTTAAAAAAAAAGAAGATAAAGTCTGCCTGATTTTTTTTTTTTTGGACAGGCAGAGTTAGACAGTGAGAGAGAGAGAGAGACAGAGAGAAAGGACTTCCTTCCATTGGTTCACCCCCCAAATGACCACTACCTTCCTGGGCCACAGCAGAGAGCTGGACTGGAAGAGGAGCAACCGGGACAGAACCGGCACCCCACCTGGGAATAAAACCCAGTGTGCTAGTGCCACAGGCAGAGGATCAGCCCAGTGAGCCATGGCGCCAGCCTGAGTAGTAGTTTTACCATTAATTCACATAGTACAACACATTGAGGACAGAGATCCTACATAGGAAGCAGGTGCACAGTGATTCCCATTGTTG